AGAGCAAACAATAAATCTAAATGACTATGTTAGAAAAGAGCTTACCAAAGTGGATCCGCTATAGTAGCTTCATCAAAGAGGAAAAGGTAGAGGCCAAAAGTCCCAACCACCAAAGAATGGCATGTAGATACTACCCTGAAATGAAAAAAGAAAAAGAAAAGAAATGTAGGTAAACACTTCATGTCCCTTGCAATAAGCTTTCATTCTTGTAAGCCAGTTAACATTCTGAAGTTGCACCTTGGAACATTCAAACATAAGAATGCATGGAAAACTGACACAGAGTAGGCATTTAGAAATGGGGGCCAGGAGCCTTGCTTCACTCGGGGTAGAGTATCAGGAATTCCAAGGTCTACCATTCCATGACTCATCAGTGCTTGGGCTAAGATTCTAAAGCAGACGCAGCACACAGGATTGTGTAGTTATGAGCACCTCTTGGAAGTGAAGGGGTAGCTCAAGGGATAGGGTACCAGCCTTGAGGAAACAACAACAACAAAAAACTCTGGGTCAGTGTTTAGGCCCTTAGTTCAAGCCTAGGACTGGGGGACAAGGAGGGGTATGGTCTCAACAAACTGATGACAATGAAAAGGCTACTGCCCTGCCCCTCCAAGTTATATACCGAATGTTCTCACTGCAGGATGAGTTCCCTGCTCCAATCAGGTGGGAAAGACTTTTACTTCCAAATCTTCCACATCAATCAACTCTCTTTATAGAGAGGTTTTTTGTTTTTGGTGTTTTTTTGGTGCCAGTCTTGGGGTTTGAACTCAGGGGCCTGGGCTGTCCCTAAGCTCTTTTTCCTTAAGCCTAGTACTATACCACTTGACCCACAGCTCCAATTCTGTGGTTTTTAGTGTTTCATTGGAGATAGGCATCTCGCTCTCCTATCTGGGCTGGCTTTGTACCTGGTGCCTCAGATCCCAGGCCTCCTGAGTAGCTAGGATTACAGATGTGAGCCACTGGCACTCAGCCTATTTCTCACATCTTTATTTAGAAGTTTGCAGGTATGGGCTGGGAATGTGGCTTAGTGGTTGAGTGCTTTGCTAGCATGCATGAAGTCCTGGGATCTATTCCTTAGTACCACATAAACAGAAAAGCCGGAAGTGGTACTTTGGTTCAAGTGGTAGAGTGCTAGCTCTGAGCCAAAGAAGCTCAGGGAGCACTGCCCAGGCCCTGAGTTCAAGCCACAGCACTGGCCCAAAAAAACAAAAACAAAAGCATATATATATATATAATATTTTAATATATATAATATTAAAAAAATAATTTTAGTCCACAAAAGTAGTTTTTAAAGACAGCTACATGCCTATGTTTTTACCTTGAGTTCCATTCAATCTTCTTTTCGTTGCTTAGATTATTATAACCTGAAGAAACCTTTGCTGAAAACCTATGACTTACAAAATGGAAAAGCAACTGAAAGGTGAAAAAACTGGTACACACAATGCTGAAAACCATGTGGTTGTTGTTGTCCATATTTCTTTAACCTGTTAAGAGAAATGGTACTGTAAGTTACTAGTTCTTTAAAGAGCACATATTCCTATTTTATAGTAGTTTTGAAAATTAGCACAAATTAGGAGAAGAAACCCTAAGAATTGGAAATCTTTCATGCTCTTCAACCTTACCATTTATTTGTTATATAACTTATTTTTGTATTTAAAATATTGTATTTAAAATAAAAAACTTTGATTTTTAAAGATTTGTGAATTATAGAATATATTTAAAATGATCTCTAAGTCTTAGAGTTCAACATTAAGAAGCAGCTAGTATAAAAATGAAGGTATTATTTTAATAATATATTTAATTATATTTAAGACAAATCCCCTTATTTCCACTATTTCCTCATCTATAAATTGGAGAGTCAGATAATTTCTAAGTACCAATTAAGTTTAAAGTACTAGAACATCACCTATATTAACAAAACAGAAAATTATATAATAAAAATTAGTTATACAGTGGTGCAAACCACATTTAACAAAATTAAAATAATAATAACAATAATGGTCTTAGAAACAAACACCACATGTTGGTGGGAATGTAAATTACACAGTATGGAGATTCCTCAAAAAATTAAAAATAAGCATCAATGACTCATGCTTATAATCCTAGCTAGTTAGGAGTCTGAGATCTGAGGATCACAGCTAAGCTAGTCCTAGAAAGTCTATGAGACTCTACTCTTCTAATTCATCACCCAACAAGCCAGAAGTGGAGCTGTGGCTCACATGGGAGAACTCCAAACTTGAGCCAAAAGGCTAAGAGACAGTGCTCAGGCCTTGAGTTCAAGCTCCAGTACCAGAAGACACACATACACAACCAAAAATTACCTAGTCTAAAAACAGAACTCCCCTACGATCTAGTGATAGCACTCTTGGGCATTTATCCAATTAATTACAAGCCAACATATATAATAAACTCTTGCATACCCAAGTTTATGGTTGAAATATTCACGTAGCTAGGTTATGAAAACAGCTCTAATGCTCTACAACTGACCAATGAAACATGTACATATACACACATGCATGCGCATGAATTATTCTTAAGAAAGAATATCTGTCCAAAACAGAAATGTACTCTTTACCTGACTTATGTAACTGCAACCTCTCTGTACATCGTAACAATATTTTTTAAAAGAAAGAAATGTTACGTCATTTACAGAGAAATGGAAAGATGTGAAGAAAGATTATATTAAATGAAGTCAGGCTCAGAGAGACAAAGGACTCATGTTTTCTCTCAAATATGGAAATCAGACCTAAAAATAAACATATATAACACACACATATATAAACCCACACATACACATGTGTGTGGATATATAACCAGTATAATCAGAATACCAGTATGCTGAGGGAAGTAGGTTTAAGGTAATGATTGGTGAATTAATGGAGAGAGGAGTACTGGATGAATACAGTCATAATACTCAATATGCATATGTGAAAATGGAACTGGAAAACTTGAGGTTGAGGATAGATGGGAGAAGGATGATGGGAAGGGTGACACTGATCAAGATGTGTAGTACTCATAAATTGATATAGTGAAATTAAACCTCCTTGTATAACTAAAGATTTAAAAAAGAAAAGAATCATATCATTATCTAAAACTAGTATTTCATATTTTCCCCTTTGGCCAAAAGGTCTCTATACCTTTTCATCTCTATTTAAAAATTTTTTTAAGAACTATAGATTTTTCCAGGCACTGGTGGCACACTCCTGTAATCCTACCTACTCAGGAGGCTGAGATCTGTTCTAAGCCAGCTTAGAAAGTCTGTGAGACTCTTAGCTCCAATTAACCACCAAAAAGCCAGATGTGGAGCTGTGGCTCAAGTGGTAGAGCACTATCCTTGAGCAAAGTAACTCAGGAGCAACTCTCAGACCCTGATTTCAAGCTCCAGGATGCACACAATAAGTAAATTTTAAAAACTTACAAATTTTAAGGAGTTAAAGTATAATAATATGCTTATACATACACTCAAAGTCTGTTTTCTATCTTATTGAGCTGAAAACTTTATTTGGCTACTAAAAATCTCAAGAACATTCAGGTGTTAAAAAGCCACCAAAGCATTTGTTCATATCCAGCAAATGTAGCATTTCTCTGGCTCTATTTCTCTACTACAGCTGATCCTCAAATGATCAGAGGAAACAAATCAATACACATTTCCAGCTGCCTAATGTGAAGAAATAAAGTCACTTACTGAAACTGACTCACTGGAGAAAATCCAAGTCATTGGCTGCACTAGTAAATGCAATACCTCACTTCATTCCTTTCCAGCCAGGATGTCATAATGAGCATCAATCTCCCACAGGGCCCCCATGATAGAGTTCAGATGTCTGTAATGAATTCTTCCTTTCCATCCCCCTTTTTTGAGGGGTACGTGTACTTGGTAAAATTATTGATAATGCAATTCTTCTCTGTGAGACTCCATTAACTTCAATTCTCCTTTACTTCTTTGGGTTCAACATGTGTTTATGGGGTAATTAAAGAAATATTTAATTTAGTCTAGGCTTCATATTAACCAAACAATACATAAAAGTAAGCTTTGTACATATATTGGACATCATTATAATCTGTTAAGTGATTAAAAAAAGCAAAGTGATTTCTAAGATGAAAGCAAATAGGGATGTGGGGGCCAGGTGGACAGATAATTGAAGAAAATGGAATCAGTAACGACAAGAGAGCTAGGATGATTTACCCTGAAGGCTACACATGCTTTCTGCTGATGTTAGAGCACGGATAGGCAAGGGCTATTCAGGCTCTTTTGTTCAAATTCAATGTATACACACATGAGCTTTTTGTTTTCAGACGCTCTCATGAAACACTGATATCATGCACGGCATTATCCAGTTAAGGAATGGCTAATTTAATACATTAAAAAAACACTCTAACAATTGTCAGTTACAAAAAGAAGTACCACCCCTACCCCAATAGGTTGATAATCTCCCCTTGCAAAAATGTTTGATTTGAAACGAAATAAAGAGGCTCAGATATTCACCCTGTAGTTTTTATTACAAGCTGGGCAGGGAAAGCCACTTAAATTCCTCTTCCCTCAGCCTTGCTTCTTAATAAGTAGCTGCTTGCTTAACCAAAGCCAAGACCAAGATTTTTTTTTTAAACAAATTCCCCCAGAAAGGACAGCTGAAGTGGAGACTTATTAGGGGCTAGCAACTGGCAGAAGGCTGGGACTTACTAGCTGTCCTAGAAAGGAGTGGCTGAAACAGACATGGTATACCTCAAGAGTGTCTACAATATCATTACCCCATCCCTGGTTCACAGGAATGATGGACACCAGAGAAACTTCCAGAGGCCTGCTGAACACACTGATGACTGTCCTTGTCCCAAGACAGCAAACAGCCACTGAAGCTGGTGTCTTCAAAGGAAAAAAGCATGAAGACATTGGAAGTACACATCTCTAGCAGGAAAGCCCTCCTCTTCCAGAAAGACACTCCCACCCAGAGACAAGGTCCTCAAACACAGCACAGCCAACATGTAGTTGCCACTTTAGCCAACAGTCCATCCAACAACTGTCTCTTGTCTACCCAAATACCAAGTTCTGCTGGTGTTTGGAAGACACATTTATAAGCTAAGAGATTAAAGGAACCTATTTAACATGTCTGGGGTGCTAAAGAGAATAAATGGAGTCCTCTCGAGAGATGACAGTGAAGATGACACATAAACAGTGAGGAGATAGCCAATGGAATTCAAGGTGAAGCAAGGAGTCTATCTCTTTGGTTGAAATCCCAAGATGCTTTGAGGTAGAGGCTAGAAAAACTCAGTTCTGCTAGGAGTTTACAGCCAACTCCCACAACCCAACCACATCTGGGACTCCCATTTCCTCCAGTCTACTATTCCTTTGTAAGGATATGGTTCCTTGGGACTTTCAGAATCACCAATGAGAATACCAGACATAGCCTGCACCACTCCCACCCCCACCCCCATCTCCAACTCCACTGTGATACCAGATAGGAGTTAGCAGTAAAAATCCTTAAAGGAGTAGAAGTGGGAGAGAAGTCTATGTGTGTTTTGTTTGCTTTTTGTTTTTTTACAGTCCTGGGGCTTGAACTCAGGGCCTGGGCACTGTCCTTGAGCTTCTTTGGCTCAAAGCTAGCACTCTACCACTTGAGCCACAGCACCACTTCTGGTTTTTTCTGTGTATGTGATACTGAGGAAGGGAACCCAGGGCTTCATGCATGCTAGGCAAGCACTCCACCACTAAGCCATGTTCCCAGCCTCTGTGTTTGTTTTAAAAGCCAGCAGGGAAAAGGGAAGCTGAGAAGAAAGCCTCACTCACACTCAGCATTTCCCTTTTCCATCCCTAGTAGGTTGCCTTTCCTATTTCCCAACTGAGTCTAAATATGTGTTCACTAATAGCAAATCTCCATTTCCCCCTTCTTGTAGCAGATGAGGTTTCTTCCCATTTCACCAGAAAATGAATGCTATGAAACATCAACTCCCTTAACAGGGCATTGTTAAGGACAATCACTACAACATGGAGTCTCTTCTTGGTGCTCTACGGGTTCTGCCTGGCTATATAGCCCACTCTTTCAACAATGCTTATGTTGTGTACAATCAACATAAACTTACAGCTGCCCCCCTCCTCCTACATACACAGTATACCAGGACTGGGTAGACAGCTGGCCTCTGAATGGTTCCATATGGGCATTCCGGAAGCCCTGCAGGTTCTATCTGGTCCAAGATGAACGAAATGCATAACCATCCCTTCCTCCATGGCTCCCAATCTCAGTGACTGACACTGCCATTCACAGTATCTCCCAACCTAGAACAGCTCAGCCCTGTCCCTTCTTCCCACACAGCAATGACTGGCAAATTCTGGCAGATTGGAGAATGCCAAATAAAGGGTAACTTAATTCTAGTCTCACCTCTCATGATAGACTAATACAAAGAAATATGACTGGGGAAGAAAATTTGGCAAATACAGGGTAGATCAATGATCTGAAGTAGACCTGAGACATTATCTCCTCCTACCACTTGATAA